GAACCCCCAGGACCAACAGAAAATACTGTATTTTCTGATGGTCTTTGGTGACCCCTCAGACACCCCCTCACGACCCCCCCAGAGGTCCCGACCCCCAGGTTGAGAAACACTGATATATATGTGTGTGTGTTTAATTATATAATGTATTATATGCCAGCTTCATTTTAAAGTCAACCCTCCCATCCTTAAACCATATATGTGTACGAGTGTTCATATATATATATATATATATATATATATATATATATATATAATATAATATACACCAACCTCATTTTAAAAAGTCAAGACTTGCATTCTTCAACCCAAAACCTCCCAGCATGCTACTTAAAACCTGTACTAATGCTATGAATTCCATTGGTTTGCTTTACTTCGGACTACTTACACAAGTCACACCTATAACACATGGCAATACACAGGGGCGGCTCGTCCATTACGCGAAGTAAGCGGTTGCAGAACACTTTTTTTTTGCCAGGGGTGCAGAGGCGCCTCTGTAAATGCTCCTCAACCGCCACTTGTGGAGCGCCCCCTCAGCTCACAACAGCCCTAGCAGTCCGGGGGAGCCTCGGCTTTCTTGCCTCGCTGCCGGGCGATCCTCTTCCCAAAGGGGCCGGGCCCTTGAGCCTCGCCTAGCCCCTCTCGTTCCTGCTCCACCTGGCCACCGGGTGTGCGAGCAGAGCTGGCACTCAGTCATTCACCGCGTTCGATCCCTTCCCCATGACCGGCCTTCTTTCCCGATCCCCCAGCGCTCCACCCGCCTCCTCTCCTCTCCCCAATCTGTGGGTGGGCCAAGGGGTGGATCCACCGCGCCTGGCCCGCTTCGGGTCCGGAGGCGTGTCTGAAGACCCCAGTGTGCGCACCAAAAGTCGCCTCTTCTCCTGCCATTGGGACAACCATTGGGACCAAGAGAGAGAGAGAGAGAGAGCCCCTCTGGCTGGAGGTATCTCCCACCTCCGCTCCCTCCTTTGTTTTTGCGCCTACCTTCAGGAAAGGTGGGCATCTCCACCTACCAAAAAGTCGCCTCTTCTCCTGACTTTCTCTTCAGCCATTGGGACCAAGAGAGAGAGAGAGAGAGAGAGAGAGACCTTCCGGCTGGAAGTATCTCCCACCTCCGCTCCCTCCTTTGTTTTTGCGCCTACCTTCAGGAAAGGTGGGCATCTCCACCTACCAAAAAGTCGCCTCTTCTCCTGACTTTCTCTTCAGCCATTGGGACCAGAGAGAGAGAGAGAGAGAGAGAGAGAGCCCCTCCTGCTGGAGGTATCTCCCACCTCCGCTCCCTCCTTTGTTTTTGCGCCTACCTTCAGGAAAGGTGGGCATCTCCACCTCTCTCTCTCTCTCTCTCTCTCTTGGTCCCAATGGCTGAGGAGAAAGTCAGGAGAAGAGGTGACTTTTGGTGCACACGCCGGGGTCTTCAGGCACGCCTCCGGACCCAAAGCGGGCCAGGCAAGGGAGCAAGTGCGGCAAGTGTAGTTACTGGGATGTATAGTTCACCTACAATCAAAGAGCATTCTGAACTCCACCAATGATGGAATTGAACCAAATATGGCACACAGAACTCCCACGACGAACAGAAAATATATATCAATGATTGGTTGGGGGGGGGGCAAAATACTGCTTGCTTACCGTTGAAAATTACCTAGGGCCGCCTCTGGCAATACATTCCTAATAATAGCAAACGTTATTGCAATTAAAGACTTTGGCCTCAAGAATACGACAAAAGTTGCTTTGCAGGACATAGAAAAGGCTCAGATGGAGAAAGAGACCACGGTTGGCCAGAAGTGGATGAATGAAACCGTGGATAATAGCGAACCCAATGACCACAAAGGGGGAGGAGCCCAGGTTGATGGACAGGTGGAGCAGCCAATCAATGCACTGATAGTTTATCATTGGGCCCTGGGAGGAACCCAGCCTCCTGCAAAGAGGGGGGCATTCAAAGGGGGTTGCATAATTATTAAAATATATTCAAATAAATGCAAATGCAAAGTCTAGCCCAACCCAAAGCCATGCCTTTTCCAGGGGGACGTGTTTGCAAATATCCATGGCAACTGAGCCCGCCTTCCCCATTTTTTTCCCTTTTGCAATGCATGCAAAAAAAGCATTATGCACACACGTACATACATATACATACAATAAAATAAAATGAGAAAAATATACATACAGATACAGTTATGGAAAAGTATTATGCATATGTATAAAATGCAAAACAGATATATAAAATGCAAAACATATATGTATAAAGTGTATATATATTGCAATAAATTATGTCTGCATTAAATGCCTATATATATATATATATATATATATACAAATGCAAAAAATATGTGTATAAAGTGTGTATATATTGCAATAAATTATATCTGCATAAAATGCCCATATATATATATATATATATATACAAATGCAAAAAATATGTGTATAAAGTGTGTATATATTGCAATAAATTATGTCTGCATAAAATGCCTATATATATATATATATATATATACAAATGCAAAAAATATGTGTATAAAGTGTATATATATTGCAATAAATTATATCTGCATAAAATGCCCATATATATATATATATATATATATACAAATGCAAAAAATATGTGTATAAAGTGTGTATATATTGCAATAAATTATGTCTGCATAAAATGCCCATATATATATATATATACAAATGCAAAAAATATGTGTATAAAGTGTATATATATTGCAATAAATTATATCTGCATAAAATGCCCATATATATATATATATATATATATACAAATGCAAAAAATATGTGTATAAAGTGTGTATATATTGCAATAAATTATATCTGCATAAAATGCCCATATATATATATATATATATATACAAATGCAAAAAATATGTGTATAAAGTGTGTATATATTGCAATAAATTATGTCTGCATAAAATGCCCATATATATATATATATACAAATGCAAAAAATATGTGTATAAAGTGTGTATGTATTGCAATAAATTATGTCTGCATAAAATGCCCATATATATATATATATACAAATGCAAAACATGATATGTATAAAATGCGTATATATTGCAATAAATTATGTCTGCATAAAATGCCTATATATATATATATATATAGCAAAAATATGTCTGTATAAAATGCCTATATGTGTGTGTGTAAAAAAACGAAAAATATATGTATAAAATACCTATATATATACATCTACATATATTGCAAACATTATACGTCTGCATAAAATGGGTGTGTGTATACATATATTTTTTGCATTTATATATATATATATCTGCATAAAATGCCTATATATATGTATAAAAATATGCAAAGAAATTTTTATAAAATGCCTATGTATAAAAATGCATACACTATACAAGCCAATGTGTATATATAGATATGTGTGCGTTTGTGCATAAAAATGCAAATATATATATGTCTGTATCAAATGCCTATGTATAAAAATGTATGCACTATGCAATGCAATATCTGTATAAAATGCATATATGTGTGTGTGTGTGCAAAAAATTATATGCACATATCAAATGCCTATATATATATGCAAATAATTATACCTGTGTAAAATACATATAACCTGTATTAATATATGAATAATATTGCAAAATTGTGTCTGTATCAAACGCCTATGTATAAAAATTAATGCACTATGCAATGCAATATCTGTATACAATGCATTTATATATTTATATGCAAAAAATTATATGTACATATTCAAATGCCTATATATATGCAAATAATTATGCCTGTATAAAATATATATAAGCTGTATAAATATATGAAAATATGTCTGTATCAAATGCCTATGTATAAAAATTGATGCACTATGCAATGCAATATCTGTATACAATGCGTTTATATATTTATATGCAAAAAATTATATGCATATATATATATATATATATGCAAATAATTATACCTGTGTAAAATATATATAAGCTGTATAAATATATGAACATATGTCTGTATCAAATGCCTATGTATAAAAACAGATGCACTATGCAATGCAATATCTGTATAAAATGCATTTATATATATATATATGCTAAATTTATATACACATAACAAATGCATATATATATATATATATATATATATATGCAAATAATTATGCCTGTGTAAAATATATATAAGCTGAGAAACATATGTTGTTGTTTATTCGTTCAGTCGTCTCCGACTCTTCGTGACCTCACGGACCAGCCCACGCCAGAGCTCCCTGTTGGCCGTCACCACCCCCAGCTCCTTCAAGGTCAGTCCAGAAACATATATATATATATATATATATGCAAAATATGTCTGTATTCGTATGTATAAAATGCCTACATATATATATGCATGCAGTCTGTGTGTGTGTGTGCAAAAATTATATGCACATATCAAATGCCTATATATATATATATATGCAAATAATTATGCCTGTATAGAATATATATAAGCTGAGTAACATTATTTTTTTTTGCATACACACATATAATTTTTTGCATACACACATATAATTCTATATAGATACTGCTTTGCATAGTGCATGCATATCTATCTATCTCGGCATTTTATAAATATCTTGCATTTATATATATATATATATATATATATATATATATAAATGCAAGATATTTATAAAATGCCGAGATAGATAGATATGCATGCACTATGCAAAGCAGTATCTATATAGAATTATATGTGTGTATGCAAAAAATTATGCTTGTATATAATGCAGAACTATATAAATATAAAATGTGTGTATGCATAAAATTGCAAAAAAAAATATGCCTATATATAGAATACATAAATGCAAAAAATGCATTTATATATTCTATGCAAAAAATATGTTCTGCCTGCAAATGCATGCATGATGCTCCTGAATCCACGCCCCAATTGAAGCCATGTAACTGGGTGCAGCATGGCAGGCAGAGGAGGGAGAGAGAGAACATGCATGCATGCATACATGCATGCACCAATCCTTCCTCCCTTGCTCCCTTTCCATGGCTGCAGGTGGAGAGCAGCCTTACCTCAGTGCAGCATGGCAGGAAAGGCTGCAAGAAGGCCCCTTCCTCCTCTTCCTCTTCCTCTTCCTCTTCCCTGGAGGGTCTCACTGGCTTCCCTCCTGCAGAGGCTTCCCTTTGCAAGACCCCAGCCCCGGGCAGAAGCACCGGAAGCGCGTCATCAGCCCGGGACCAGCTGGCCTCCCTCCTCCTCCTCCTCTTGCTTTTCCCTCTCTCTCTCCCTCTGCTCCCTTCTACCTGTCTTTCCCTTCTTCCCTCTTTCTCCCTCTCTGCTTCTCTCTCTCTCTCTCTCCTCCCCTTTTCTCTTTCCCCTCCTCCTCCTCCTCTCCCTCCTTCTTTCTCCTTCCTTCCTCCCTTCCTTCCTTCCTTCTTTCCTTTCTTTTTTCCTTCCTTCCTTCTTTCCTTCCTTCTTCCCTCACTTCCTTCTTTCCTCCATTTCTTCCTTTCTTCCTTCCTTTCTTTTTTCCCCTTCATTTCTTCTTTCCTTCCATCTTGCCACCATCCCTTTCTTCTTTCCTCCCTTTCTTCTTTTCTTCCTTCCTTCCTTCTTTCCTCCATTTCTTCTTTTCTACCTTCCTTTCTTTTTCCTTCCTTTCTTTTTTCCCTTCATTTCTTCTTTCCTTCCATCTTTCCACCCTCCCTCCCTTCCTTCTTTCCTCCATTTCTTCTTTTTTCCCCTTCCTTCCTTTTTTTCCTTCCTTCCTTCTTTCCACCCTCCTTCCCTTCCTTCTTTCCTCCATTTCTTCCTTTCTTCCTTCTTTTCTTTTTTCCTTTCTTCCTTCCTTCTTTCCTCCATTTCTTCCTTCCTTTCTTTTTTCCTTCCTTTCTACTTTCCTTCCTTCCTTCTTTCCACCCTCCCTTCCTTCTTTCCTTCATTTCTTCTTTTCTACATTCCTTCCTTTCTTTTTTCCTTCCTTCCTTCTTTCCTTCCTTCTTTCCACCCTCCCTTCCTTCTTTCCTCCATTTTTCTTCCTTTCTTCCTTCCTTTCTTTTTTCCTTCCTTTCTACTTTCCTTCCTTCCTTCTTTCCACCCTCCCTCCTTCCTCCCTCCCTTCCTTCTTTCCTTCATTTCTTTTTTCCTTCCATCTTTCCACCCTCCCTCCCTTCCTTCTTTCCTCCATTTCTTCCTTCCTTCTTTTCCTTTCTTTTTTCCTTCTTTCTTCTTTCTTCCTTCCTTCTTCTTTCCACCTTCCTTCCTTCTTTCCTCCATTTCTTCCTTTCTTCCTTCCTTTCTTTTTTCCTTTCATTTCTTCTTTCCTTCCATCTTTCCACCATCCCTTTCTTCTTTCCTCCCTTTCTTCTTTTCTTCCTTCCTTCCTTTGTCTTTCCTTCATTTCTTCTTTCCTTCCTTCTTTCCTCCATTTCTTCTTTTCTACCTTCCTTTCTTTTTCCTTCCTTTCTTTTTTCCCTTCATTTCTTCTTTCCTTCCATCTTTCCACCCTCCCTCCCTTCCTTCTTTCCTCCATTTCTTCTTTTTTCCCCTTCCTTCCTTTTTTTTTCCTTCCTTCTTTCCTTTCTTCTTTCTTCCTTTCTTTTCTTCTTTCTTCCTTTCTTCCTTCCTTCCTTCCTTCTTTTCCTCCTTTCTTCCCCTTTCTTTTTTCCTTCATTTCTACTTTCCTTCCTTCCTTCTTTCCACCCTCACTTCCTTCTTTCCTCCGTTTCTTCTTTTCTACATTCCTTCCTTTCTTTTTTCCTTCCTTCCTTCTTTCCTTCCTTCTTTCCACCCTCCCTTCCTTCTTTCCTCCATTTCTTCCTTCCTTTCTTCCTTCCTTTCTTTTTTCCTTCCTTTCTACTTTCCTTCCTTCCTTCTTTCCACCCTCCCTTCCTTCCTCCCTCCCTTCCTTCTTTCCTTCATTTCTTTTTTCCTTCCATCTTTCCACCCTCCCTCCCTTCCTTCTTTCCTCCATTTCTTCCTTTCTTCCTTCCTTTCTTTTTTCCTTCCTTTCTACTTTCCTTCCTTCCTTCTTTCCACCCTCCCTTCCTTCTTTCCTTCATTTCTTTTTTCCTTCCATCTTTCCATCCTCCCTCCCTCCCTTCTTTCCTCCATTTCTTCCTTTCTTCCTTCCTTTCTTTTTTCTTCTTTCTTCTTTCCTTCCTTCTTTCCACCCTCCCTTCCTTCCTCCCTCCCTTCCTTCTTTCCTTCATTTCTTTTTTCCTTCCATCTTTCCACCCTCCCTCCCTTCCTTCTTTCCTCCATTTCTTCCTTTCTTCCTTCCTTTCTTTTTTCCTTCCTTTCTACTTTCCTTCCTTCTTTCCACCCTCCCTTCCTTCTTTCCTCCATTTCTTCCTTTCTTCCTTCCTTTCTTTTTCCTTCTTTCTTCTTTCCTTCCTTCCCTTCTTCCATTCCTTCCTTCTCCTCTCCTTCCTTCTTTCCTTCATTTCCCTTCCATCTTTCCACCCTCCCTCCCTTCTTTCCTCCATTTCTTTTTCTTCCTTTCTTCCTTCCTTTCTTTTTCCTTCCTTTTCTTTCTTTCTTCCTTCCTTCCCTCCTTCCTTCCTCTCCTCCTTCCTTTTCCTTCTTTCTTTTCCTTCCTCTTTCCACCTCCCTTCCTTCCTTCTTTCCTCCATTTCTTCCTTTCTTCCTTCCTTTCTTTTTTCTTCTTTCTACTTTCTCCTTCCTTCTTCACCCTCCCTCCCTCCCCCTCCCTTCCTTCTTTCCTTCATTTCTTTTTTCCTTCCATCTTCCTCCCTCCCTCCCTTCTTTCCTCCATTTCTTCCTTTCTTCCTTCCTTTCTTTTTCCTTCCTTTCTTCTTTCCTTCCTTCCTTCCACCCTCCCTTCTTTCCTCCCTCCCTTCCTCTTTCCTTCATTTCTTTTTTCCTTCCATCTTTCCACCCTCCCTCCCTTCCTTCTTTCCTCCATTTCTTCCTTTCTTCCTTCCTTTCTTTTTTCCTTCCTTTCTACTTTCCTTCCTTCCTTCTTTCCACCCTCCCTTCCTTCTTTCCTTCATTTCTTTTTTCCTTCCATCTTTCCACCCTCCCTCCCTCCCTCCCTTCTTTCCTCCATTTCTTCCTTTCTTCCTTCCTTTCTTTTTTCTTCCTTTCTTTTTTTTCCTTCCTTCTTTCCACCCTCCCTCCCTTTCTTTCCCCTCCTTCTTTCCTCCCTCCTTCCTTCTTTCTTCTTTTTTTTCCTTCCTTCTTTCCCCCTCCCTCCTTCTTCCTTCCATTTCTTCCTTCCTTTCTTTTCCTTCCTTTCCTTTCTCCTCCCTTCCCTCCCTTCTTTCCCTTCCTCCTTCCTCCTTCCTTTCTTTCTTTTTTCCTTTTCTCTTTCCCTCCCTCCTCCTTCTTCTCCATTTCTTCCTTTCTTCCTTCCTTTCTTTTTCCTTCCTTTCTCTTTCCTCCCTTCTCTCCTCCCTTCCCTCCCTTCCTTCTTTCCTTCATTTCTTTTTTCCTTCCATCTTTCCACCCTCCCTCCCTCCCTTCTTTCCTCCATTTCTTCCTTCCTTCCTTCCTTCCTTCCTTCCTTCCTTCCTTTCTTCTTGCTTCCTTCTTTTCTTCCTTCTTTCCACCCTCCCTCCCTTCCTTCTTTCCTCCATTTCTTGTTTTCTTCCTTCCTTTCTTTTTTCCTTCATTTCTACTTTCCTTCCTTCCTTCTTTCCTTCCATCTTTCCACCCTCCTCCCTTCCTTCTTTCCTCCATTTCTTCCTTCCTTCCTTCCTTCCTTCCTTCCTTCCTTCCTTTCTTCTTGCTTCCTTCTTTTCTTCCTTCTTTCCACCCTCCCTCCCTTCCTTCTTTCCTCCATTTCTTGTTTTCTTCCTTCCTTTCTTTTTTCCTTCATTTCTACTTTCCTTCCTTCCTTCTTTCCTTCCATCTTTCCACCCTCCCTCCCTTCCTTCTTTCCTCCTTTTCTTCTTTTTTCTTCCTTCCCTCCTTTCCTCTTTCTTTCCTTCTTTCCCCCTTCCCCTTTTTTCTTCCTTTCTTTCTTTCCTTCCCTTTTTCCTTCTTTCCTTTCTTCCCTCCCTCCCTTTCCTTTCTTCTTCCTTCTTTTCCTTCCTTCTTTCCTCCCTCCTTCCTTCCTTTTTTCTTCTTTCCTTTTTTTCCTTCCTTCCTTCTTCCTTCCCTTCTTTCTTCTTCTTTCCCTCCTTCCTTCTTTCCTTTCTTTCTTTCTTTCTTTTCTTTCTCTTTCTCCTTCCTTTCTTCTCTTCCTCTTTCCTTCTTCTCCTTCCCTCTCTTTCTCTTTCTCCCATCTCCCTTATTCCTCTTTTTTTCCCCTTTCAGGCTCCTTCTGCCTTCCTTTCTCTCCTTTTCTCTCTCCTTCCCTCTTTCTTTCTGGCTCCTTCTCCCTTTTGCTCTTTTTCTTTCAATCCTCTCTCTTTTCGCTTCTTTTTCTTTTCCTCTCTCTCTTTCTTTCTTCTTTCTTTTCTTCCCTTTCTCTCCTTTCCTCTTCTTCTTCCCTTTTATGTCTTTCCTCCTTTTCTCTTTCTTCCTTTATCTACTCTTTCCTTCCCCTTTCCTTCCTTCCCTTTCTGTGTTCTCTTTATTCTCTCTATCTTCTTTCTCTTTCTTTCCTTTGTCTTTCTCTTTCCACTTTCTCTTCTCCTCACATTCTTTCCTCCCCTCTCTTATTTCCTATCTTCTTCCCTCTCTTTCTTTCTTCTCTTTCCTTCCACCATTTCTCTCTTTCTTCTTTCTCTCTTTCTTTCCTTACTTTGTCTTTCTATTTCTTCCTTTTCTCTTTCTTTCCTTCCTTCTCTCATTCCCTCTCCCTTTCTTTCCTTCCTTTCTCGTTCTTCCTTTCTCTTTTCCTCTTTCTTTCCTTCTTCCTTCTTTCTTTTCCTTTTTTTTTTCTCTTTCCTCCTTTCTCTTATCCTTTCTTACTCTCCCGCTCTCCTTTCATCCATACATCCCTTTCTCTCTTCCCTTTTTCCCTCCCTTCTCTCTCTTCCCCCTTTTTCTTTCCTTCCTTTCTCATTCCTCCTTTCTCTTCTCTTTCTTTCTTCCCTTCCCCCTCTCTCCTTTTCTCCTTCCCTTTCCCTCCTCTTTTTCTTCTCCCCTTTCTTTCTTTCCTATGTCTTTCTCTTTCCTGCTTTCTTTCCTCTTTCTTTCCTGCCCTCTCTCATTCCCTCCCTTTCTCTCTTCTCTTTATTTTC